AAGACTTCATAAGGAATAGTAGATAATTTGGATTTTACCACAACTGCAATTAGATACTGTCAACAAGCTTTAGATGAAGAAAAAGCAACATGATCTCATTTATTTTTTTTTTCAAAATCTACTCTGATGCAGTGTGGAGAGATGATTGGAAGGAGGTAAAAGAAAACGTAGAGAGACAAGTAACTACACACTATTGCTTTAGTCCAGGTGAGAAATGATGGTGGCTTAAACTAGGATGACTAGAATGGCAATGGAGTTTGAAAAACGATGAATTAAAGACACATTTTAAAGCAGATAATCCTTTAAAATGCTAAAATTGAGGTATTACAGTGACAATATTAAGATTATTTTTCCCCTCATGGTATTTCCCAAGTTTTTGTTAAACAATGGTACTTACATCTAAAATTTTGAAAACATCACTTACTTTAAAATAATTGAACTCTAAAGCAAACAAATAAGATACTTGTAAGCAAATCAAGGCCTAATATTTGCAAGGTCCACAGCCAGAGTCTAAATGAAAGCCCATAGTATATCTCTAAAAATGTAAAAATTATAAAACAATCTGTTAAATAAAATGTTTAATTCATGTGTCTTGATGAAAATTTTAAAATATGAATAAAGGTATGATTTTTTTTTTTTTTTTTTTTTTTACAGAGTCTCACTGTCACCCAGGCTGGAGTACAGTCGTGCAATCAAGGCTCACTGTGGCCTTGACCTCCTGGGCTCAAGGGATCCTCCCACCTCAGCCTCCTGAGTAGCTGGGACCAGAGGTACATGCCAATCATACCTGGTTAAGTTGTTGTGGTTGGTGTTTGTTTGTTTTTTGTAGAGACAGAATTTTGTTATGCTGCCCATGCTTGAACTCCTGGCCTCAAGCAATCCTCCTACCCTGACCTCCCAAAGTGCTGGGATTATAGGTGTGAGCCACCATGCCTAACCTAAAGTTATGATTTTTGTATGACTAAAAGTTGACAGAATATCAAAGACAACTGAATTTAAGCATTATTGCACATGTCTGGATATAATGTTGATGAGCCAGCAGCGTCTAGATAAAAAATAAGATGAAGACATATATAATTTTTAAATTACAATATAGTCCATACAATTTATCTTTCTACCTTAATTTTATCATATCACTAATCAGGTTATTAACAAGCTTTTCTCAAAATTTGTATCATATTGCCAGTAAGTATCCAAAGGATTAAAAATAAATTCAATTTATTTAGACCATAAAAAATGTTTAATAATAACATATTGGATACTTGAAAATTGCCAAGACAATAGATTTTAAAAGTTCTCATCACAAAAATATGGTAAGGATGTAAGGTGATGGATGTGTTAATTAGCTTGATTTAATCATTCCACATGTATACATATATCAAAACGTCATGTGTACACTATAAATACATGTAATTTTCATGTCAATTAAAAAATAAACATTGACATAAGAAAAAAGTGTATAAAATTTAAAGATCACCAAAATTTATATTAAACGTGAAAAATTAAAAATTAAAAGTTTCATATTGGTTTTCAAATGTTATCTTCTTTTTTCTATTTTGAGACAGAGTCTCACTCTGTCATCCAGGCTGCAGTGCAGTGGTGCAATCTCAGCTCACGGCAACCTCTGCCTCCCAGGTTCAAGCAATTCTCATGCGTCAGCCTCCCCAGCAGCTGGGACTACAGGTGGCGCCACCACACACCAGCTAAATACAAAAATTTGTATTTTTTGTAGAGACAAGGTTTCACCACGTTGGCCAGGCTGGTCTTGAACTCCTGGGCTCTGCCTCGGCCTTCTTTTTTTTGAGAAAACATTGATGTAATTTTCTTTTTTTCCTTTTTGAGTTCCAACCCCAAAAATATTCCAGGAAAAGATAGGGGGAGGCTGGGCTGGTTCTTCTTCAATGGGCTTTTGCCGTCAAGGAAAACAGTGGACTTGCCCCACATCCAGGCTACCCCCAGCCCACTTCTCCCCTGCTTAGCCCAGGGGGGTGGGAAGAGGAGGTGCAGGGCGGGGAGACAGTAGAGGTGGCAGGGGTAGCCGGGAGGGAGGGGCCAGGGCAGTGATGCTTTTGGGTAAGAAGTTGGGCTGAGGCTGGGGGCACTGGGGAAGAGCTGCCCATCTGCAGTTACCATTGCTCAGTGACAGAGCCTCAAAGCTTGGCCAGAGCTAAAGGTACCACATGGGTATGTGTGAAGCAGGCTAAGCGGGATGGCTGCAGCCAAGGAGCTGGGGGAGGGCAGGGCTGTTGATCTGCCAAGGTCGTCTGTAGCATGTCATGCCAGCCTGGGAGGCCCCTCTGTTGCTGCCCTGATATGCTTTTCTTCCTGCAGCTGGCTGTCTGTGAATTCCCTCTTATGCTCCTGTGCTTTCTTCATAAACCAGTTGGCATCTCCACGGTAGTGCCCATCATTCTTGGTCACTGCCAAGCTGCCCAAAGCCATCAGGGTCCTCTGAACTGCTGCCATGTCTTTGCCTTCAAAGAGGTCAACAGTCTGGAACATGTCAGTCTTGGTGACCCCATAGTCCTCAGCTGCCTTCAGGAACTGAGCCACCTGCCCCATCTGCTTGAAGACCATGGAGGGCAGGTTCTCGGGCAGGTTCACTGGCGTGGAGCCATCAGGGTACAGGCTGTTTACCAGCTTGCTCAGAATCACACCATTTTTTATTATTATTATTATACTTTAAGTTCTAGGGTACATGTGCATAACGTGCAGGTTTGTTGCATATGTATACATGTGCCATGTTGGTGTGCTGTACCCATTAAATCATCATTTACATTAGGTATATCTCCTAATGCTATCCCTCTCCCCTCCCCCTCCCCACAATAGGACCCAGTGTGTGATGTTCCCCTTCCTGTATCCAAGTGATCTCATTGTTCACTTCCCACCTATGGGAGAGAACATGCGGTATTTGGTTTTCTGTTCTTGCGATAGTTTGCTGAGAATGATGGTTTCCAGCTGCATCCATGTCCCTACAAAGGACACGAACTCATCCTTTTTTATGGCTGCATAATATTCCATGGTGTATATGTGCCACATTTTCTTAATCCA